AATAAAATAACTATATCAGTACATATATAGAATAATTATTTTGTGAATTAATAATTTTTTATCTTATCAGTATACAATAAACATTAAATATATCGCGTAGCGATGAAAAATAATTTGTGATTTTAGAGAATTAAGTAACATTTTACCGAAGGAAACTTCAAATGTATTCGATTGTAAAATCTCGAAAACCGAAACAATTTTGCAACCTATATATAAAAATTCACCGTAAGTTAAACCTTAAAAAAAAATTTTTTTAACAAATCCTTTTATATTCTTATAACGTACAAACGTTTTGCCTACAATAGATAAAAATATTTTCCGCTTAGGAATAGTTGGTATCTCGAGAAAAGTTCAGAACTGGATGCTGACGAAGAACTCGAAGATTTACCTACACCGACCAACAAATCGCCAAACGTTGGCAATGATCCGCGATCGGTCACATTATTAAAAATCATGACATTAAAATGCGAATGTCGATCATGTGATAATAAGAAATATACGTCTGATATTCATATTAGTCGAAACACCGAAAGCGATTCTTGGAGTTCTCCAGACATGGAAAACATGAACAAACGGTAAAAATAAAATTAATATCTACTTTTTGAAAAATATAAAAAATTTATTTCTAAAATTATCGCAAAAATCGCAATAACTTTAGATTATATTTCAGCAATTATATATTCACTCGTGATAGTATAATTTACTTTTGCAGGAAATCGATAAACCAACGTAAATTTATCGAGATAAGTTCCGATGATTTGAATTTGTTGTCAGATTGTAGTGTTATTGATTTCAGCAATGTTAAAGGAAACACAAAGAATAACAACAAAACATCAAGTCATGTTGCACAATCATCTTTGAGGGTTAATTCCGCAACAAAAAAAACAAGCAATTTATCTTTCTTCAACGTTTTTTTCGATATCGTATTCTGGCCCTTTGTTTTTCTCCGTGCAAAGCAATAATAATATGATTTGCTGCGACATACGTATGTAAACGTATTTTAAAACATTTGAAAAATGTGTGTGTGTTTCTTGTTTGTATCGCTAGAAAAACCTATGGTTGTTTTGTTTTTTGAGAAATATACGTATTATTCGACAATGAGATAGAATTCTTTTACACACACAAATAATAATTGTATCTAACAACTTCTATAACAAATCAAATAATAAAATATATTCTTCAAAGTTTCGCTTATTATCACTATTATTGAAGTATAATTTTACATCTTATGACAAATGTTTTTTATTTATTATTAAGTGAAACAATTTTTCAGTCTGCAACACTGTTGCAACTTTGAACGCAATAATCGAGACTGTGACGTCTTGCGCGCGCGTGCCATTGTAATGTTGATCATGGCTGCCATCGAGCTGCGTCGTCTTGATTGTTTATCAACAGTATAATCACCAGTTTATTACATATATGTGTATGCTGTTATGACAAGGAAATCGCGACGATGATCGCTATAGTTTGCATCGTTATGACACGTTTAAACGATAGCGTTAATGTAAGCACATGATTGAATTACAATAAAATTGTCAATAAAGACTTGGCAATGTTAGCGTTATTTCATGCATGTTAAATTTGATCTAATAGACTAACAAATTAATAAATACACACATGTCGGTCAAAATCATTAGTTCAACTTGATATCAAGGGAATAATGATCAAGTACTATTTTGTGTGTCAAAACTTTTAATATAAGTCAGTAACAATATTATAGAATAAATAATAATTTCATGCCCAAGTTTTTTTTTAAATTGCAATAGTAATCATCGAAGTAAAATAATTCATTTTATGATTGTAAGATCTTGTAGAATACGTGAATTATTCGAGATATTATACATAAACAGATAAAGGAAAATTTGTATTCAAAGTTTGTAAAATAATCTTTTTTAATGAAATATGACAAATATAGAAGAGAGCGAATAGGATAATTTAAAAGAGAACAGAAAATAAAGACATAATAATATTTACCTGGAAGATAAATATTGTATAAATCAGCGAAGAATATAGTTGATAAAGCAGAAAGAGGCATAAGATATTTTCTTTTTTTACAAATATTATAATTTATTGTGATATTCTTAAGATCTATATTACTGAAAAATATGTAATAAATACAACACAAGTATTCAATATAACGCAAATGAGCAGTATTGTCCGAGGATTGCACAAATAGTTAGACATGGTTATAAATTGATATGTAAAATATATGGCTGTATCCTTGTTCTGCTGCCAGGCAAAGAACAAATTTCTTATGCTCAGATAACAGGCTACATATCAAAATTTACGGATATAAAAAAAAAAAAAGCAACGAGGTTTGAATAAAATTTTCGTCGCAATTGTTTTGCTAACTAAATGACAGCTGTTGACAACAAAATTCCGGATATATCTCTGCGTATACAATTTTTTTCTTCGACATTTCTCCCAGCAATTCCTTCATAACTAAACGAAGCAATAGGATAAAACGATCGCTTATTAATTGCTTAATTATTATTTAATTACTGGCACGCGTTTATTGTTCACTAAGCAACTTCCTGCCGTTGTTGAGGGGAGAAGGGTAGTAAAATTAAAAAATACTGTAAAGATCATCCTCTTACGAGTCCACGAATTTTGTTCTACGGATCCGTTGAAGTTTCACATATAGCACAGCCGTGCTTATCGCGGCGATAAAGAGCGTGCTTAGCATGACGGAAAAGGTTGTGTAAAAACCACTGTTACTCATGCAAACATTAGTTGCCTTTGTCATTTTTTCTATTGCCGCTTCTTCCATGCTTTCGAGAATTTGACTGGACGCTGCGCTCAAATCATCCAGCATGATCACTTTGAAGCGTCGACCGATACGTATTGGATCCGACAACAGAACCGGATTCGTCGTGATGTTCGAAGATGGCGTGTACGTTACCGACCGACGACGTCTACCCGGTTCGATTTGCTGAAAACAATATTTTGAAGTGTACTATCACGATTATACACATAATAAAAATAATAATTTTTGTAATTTGCAGAAAATTGTCGAATTTTATATCGTTAATGTGACTGTTTTTGTATCTTACTTGATTCTCTTCTGGACAAGGCTCGCAATCTGTTTTACAGAGCTCGATGTTACATTCGATGAAGAGATCCATAACGTCAGGAAATTTGAAAGCTTGGAAAAACGCATAAGCAATAATAGAAGCGCCTGTGTTTCCGGTGTCGTTTGTCTTCTGGAAAGCACCGAACAGTTTTGGCTTCAAGATGCAACCTCTTTCGTCAGTGAGTTGCAACATGTTCGACGAAGATTCATCACGTGCCACACAGTCGCGCACCTTGAACAAAATTACATATTAACTTAAATTTTATTTCTTCAAGTTTTACTTGTCATTTGAAATCAAGTTTATGGAAACACACGGTACATATAAATAAAAAATATTCTTTAACACGCTTACTTGAAGATCGAAACCGGGATCGCCTTCCACAGTGACAACCAAGGTCATTGTTTCTCCGATCTTCACGAGTCCGTCAGCCGCAGGTGCGAAAGGTCCTTTACCCATTTGAATATCGAGTTTCGCCGTAGCCGTATCGCCGCTGAAAGTAACGATCTCTTGGTTCAACATGTCTACTGAAAAATTGACTGTAAGAGCTTTATTGATGTTTCCTTCCCATAAGCATCGCACTCTTCGCACTGTGTCCCAGACTTCTTGTATACCCGGTTCGTTCTAAAAACAAAATAGTTATCTTGTTCAATGTGTAAGACCATGCGCGCGAAAAGTGGCGTGATGTCTCACAAACGTCCGATTATCGCGATTCTCGAAATTTATACTGGTCACTAACAAAATTACGAGTTGCGTTTGATAATTGCCCTATACATATTTTTCACAATTATTCTTTAGAATATCTGTCGAGATCGTTTCCGATTTCAAATTGTTCTTTCTTCGCAAAGTGTACTAACATAGTTTAATAAGTGCACGATTATCGTGTACACAAATCGCTATTTTGTAACTCTTGTTGTGTCGATACAAACCGACAAGTTGGAACGTTAATTAAGAATCAAAATTGGTTTAATTAAAGAAGTACGAAGAAATACTTCGTATTACATGTCGAGTTTTGTTTATTTACAAACGTAAAGATCATAATTGTAAAAATATTTTGTCTCACACGCGAAGTTTCTTTTTAAATAAATTTTAAATAAATAACCCACACAGCAAAGTATATCTGAGATCTAAATCAGATATCTCAGTGATATCTGACTAGTATTTACGCAATCAGATATTCTGATACTTAGATATCTTCCAGATATCTTTATGATATATTTTGCTGTATAGGAAGAGAAATGTTTTGATTGTTTGTATCAGGAAAAGCATTTGAGCTCAGTACTAACTTGTAATACAAGAACATTCTCCAAATACGCTTGGCCTGCTTCACCCTCGAACTCGTTGATAAATTGAGTACCGCACGAGTCCATGCTCACAGTGAAAGAGTACATCGTCTGACCAGAATTCTGTTCTACGTATCTGCATTCCGGATCCATAAAGAATCCCTAAAATTTGATAACAATAGGATAACATTATCAACACACATTATAGTAACATAAGATATCGTTTTGTTTGACACACTCGTTGCGTTTACCTTAGAATAAATAACGCCATCGAACGCGCGATTGAATTCAATGTTAATTGTCATCATGGTCTTGCTACACACGACGTCAAGATTATGAATATGTGGTGGATGATTGAGATCGTCCTCAGTGCCTTGATGACACAAGATTACAAATTATTTTTTCTCTTTCTATTGATTGCCACTGATCGTATAGATTATGGAAAAAAAACTTATATCGGCACCTTCTTCACCACCAGCTTCACCGGGGGTTCCGGGGGTTCCTGGGGTTCCTGGGGTACCGGGGGTTCCTGGGGTACCGGGAGTAGTGACGGCACCACCTCCTCCAGTCCCACCTGGCGTAGTAAAAGGAGGAAACGGTCTCCCGGGCGTGGATGATGAATATCCATCCGTTGAAGTGGAACTCGGATAGCCAGAAGAAGGATAGCCACCGCCACCTGGGGTAGGAAAGCTTGGAGTAGGTTGCTCCGAAGGATATCCGTACGATGTGGAGAAGCCACCTGGTGGTGAGTATCCTCCCGATACTGGCGGTTGTAATGTTCCTGCGCTACTTCCTCCTGCAGAAAAACTGCCTGTAGTACTGGTAACAACGCTAGAAGTTTGGAAGCCGCTGCCAGAAAAATCACCTGTGTCTATCGTAGAGCCGGGTAAAGGCGGTCCCTGAGTGGTAGATGGAAAAGATGGCGACTGTGGTGGAACATAGGTGCTTGGGGAACTCAGCGGAGGAAAGGCTGACGAGCCCGTGTTGGTGTATGAAGGCTGGCTCGGACGAGGATTGTAGGATGTAGAACCGCTGAAATCTTGCGGCACATACGTCGATGAGGGTTGTTGACTCGGAAACGTCGGGGAGGGTGATGGAAAACCAGTGTTTGGTGGAGTATAGAGCGACGATGGCCTCTGTGCGGGGAAACTCGTCACGCCGTTCGGCTGAGTGGCCGGTTGGAAGGGTCGAGGTTTCTCGGGCGGTCTTTGAGTGCTGAAGGGTGGCAGATATGCGTTCGATTCCGATTGCTGGCGAACTGTAAAAATATGCGGGCTTGTCGGAAGCGAGAATCTATTGTTGTGCGATTCTCACGAAGACGACAATACAAACCTATTGCAAAAAACCTAACTTTCTAGGAAAATCATTTGTAGAGTAAATATAATTCACTGTAGGTTTTTCTTAATTTTGTTGTTGTTGTAAAAGTTTATTTTTGTTGATTATGTTAAAAAGAAAAATTGGTTAAATAAGTAATAGATTAAATAAGATAACAAATTAGTGCAAATTGTTTTAAATATATTATTGATAACAAAAGATAAAAAAAATAGTTACCGTTAAAAAATGCAAGTACAGTATATTGTTTTATAGACATTGATTATACAGCTACAATCTATATAAACAGTTTTTTACAAGTGCATGCGTTTATCACTATTTGCGAGAACTATGTTTACGGAAAAAAATTTTAACAAAAAAATGAAAATGTGTACATGTGTGCGGCTCGATTTAAATTGGTGCATCAAGTTGGTGGTGCGTTGTAAGTAAAAATGATTTGCTGTCGGTCGGATCAAGCGTGCATAAAGCCAATCCCAGCGTCGAACATGAGGAGACTTCTGTGACGTCCAGATGTCACGATAAAATGATTGATTAATAGCGCGGGCGAGTTATGGATTAATAATTTCGCGTATTTCTAACATCTAAATCGATACTGCGGCGTTGGCTACGCATAGTAGCAGCTTTTGCGCACAAAATCGCAATTTACATCCAGTGGTAGCACTCCCTCTGATCATCAGCGGCACTGAACTGTCTATAAATCAGCGCGCAGCGTCAGATAGCTAAAGTCAGTTGTTATGACAGAATGAAAAAAAAAAAAAAAAGAAGAGCAACAACTCGTTTACTCGCGCGTGGCGATGGGACGGCTTCATATATCGCGCCGTTTCCTGTCGACGGCTGTAAGTCGGAAACCTACTTTTACGTGCGCCCTGCTGGTAGAGTCCCTGAATCCACTCTAGGATATTTTGCGCCATCACGTCTGCCGGCGATGCTGGGGCAGCAGCCCGTTGGACTCTCGAGCGTGCTAATGAATTTCAAACCATTCGTTTGTGATCAAATTAACATTTTACCAGCTACAGAACAACTGTACCGCTACTCTCTTTCTCTCTCTCTCTCTCTCTTTCTCTATCTCCGATCGCGCTTAAGACGGACTTGTGCTAGCCTCGCGAATTTTTCTTACCGGGTTCCGCGTCCGGGGTTCTCACGAAGAGCGCGTGACCGCCGAAATCTTGACCCACTGCTGCGCCCGAGAAAGCGACGACGAAGATCGTCGCGATAAGCCTCATCCTCCGCCTGTAAATTTATCTCGATCAATAATTTTGATTTCTTTTTTTTTCCGCCCACTCAAAAGGACTGTGCCGAGTCAGCATAGTCTCGGTTTTGTGCGAACGGAATGTCTTCGGCAAAAATAATCGTTTCGCGAAATCGCGGTGTGAGGGTCAAATGTGTTGAGGGTCGACACGCGGCTGCTAGTACGAGGATGTATCCAAGGATGATGAGCTCCGCAGACGCGGTCTCATCGTCGAAAGTAGAAAGTGATCATTATGAAATCTATGGCCGTGATCGCGGCTTTTGACAGTTGACGTCACCGTGCACAGACGAGATGACTTATTATTATGAGAAGAGAAGCGAGAGTACATAGACGACGCGCGGCGTGATTTCTCTTCAAGGTCTGAATTTCCGCGTTCTGATACGCACGAAAACCAACGATAGTTGTATAAAAATTGTTTTTATGTACACACGCGTTAAGCGCTTCTTCAAGGTCTTCGCGCGCAGGTTTGAAAGCGCATACAGAAGAGCGCGTATACAGAGCGAGATGTATCTCTTCTACATATTCTATCTACTTCTTTTCCCAATTTCGAAAGCAAAATTGCCGATAGTTATCATAACGATCATGTAATTGGCTTGTAATTGCCAGCGGTTCAAGGTTCCAAATTGCACACACGACTAAAATTAATTTTAGGCGAGAAGGTGTAGTATTTCGACAAGCGATGACCGAATGGATAATTGTCCTGCCGCAGCTTGGCCGACTGAGGTCTTCAAGGTCCCGCTTCTCGGTCTTGCTCTCTAGTTTGCTAGCGAAATTAATCGCCGCATAGAATAATTAAAAACAAAAAAGATATTGCGCACAATTATTTCGACAGAACGTTAGCGGAAAGTTTAGCGTGCGAGTAACAGCGTTCGTTCTTTAATCTCGGATTACGATCGCTGAATATTTTTTTAGCCAGGCGCCGTTTCCATTATTGTTCGCTTCTTCTCACGTGCGGCGACGAATGTTGGCGGCGTGTTTCGTCAGGACGGATTACGCGCAGACTCTCTTAGCTGTCTCGTCTCACACACATCTCATAATTCGCCCGCTCTCCCCCGCCCTCGTTAAGATTACAGATACGTACCTCACGAGCATTTAATCTCATACTTTCAATTATCCAGATGTTATTAACCTTGCGTTCTTCCGCGCAAATAAAAAACTGTTGTTTCACGCACAACGATTAATATTGATGTTACTCAATATTTTAGAATATTATAAACCTAATTTTTCACATAAGTTCTCGCATTGCTTAGCTACAATTTTCTCATGTGAAGCAATATTATATATATTCATTGTAAAGATAAAGAAATTACTAGAAATAGAACAAGAACTCTCGAGACGCACGGGAATATTGAAACAGAATTTGATGAAAAGAATTAAATTGCAATTCAAAATTTAATATTTAATTGATTATATGTAATAACAAATCAATAAATATTTAATATTACAGTTTAAATATAATACGAAACACGCTAGTATAATCAACACTACAATTATTGTAATATAATAATAACTATATAATTGTGGCAGTTACATGCGCACGCAATGGCATCAACCATTTGTATAAATAATTGTTGCTCATTTGCATCACAAAACACTAGATATGTACATATGTATATAATATTATATGTGTACAAAATGTATGTCAACCGAACTTTTTTTTTGACGGAAGTTCCGCCGTTAAATGAGCGTCATTATTTTGTCACTCGACGAAATCGAAATCTTCACGATAACTCTTGGTTAAATCTTATTTGCGAGAGAGCATCGTGCTTTCCATCGGCGCGATTCGATGCCAACACGAATCCGCTAGTGAAACCGAATCGTGACGCGTTCTTTGGTCGTTGTTCGGCGCTACTACAGCACGTACCGATCGGATGCGCCGATGCTGCATCGTATCTGTGCAAGAGTTCGAGAAGTCAACAGTGGAATCGTGCGCGAGCGAGGTGAAAGGTGAAAGTCGCGCCGCTAGAAACACATACAAATCGCTTGCTTTTACATGTGTACGCGCGTACGCATTTCTCGTGATCTACATTATATATGATATCGTTCTATATAGATCCCTCTAAATGTTTTTCTTTGCGCTTATTATTCACGGATAACGATTATAGATTTCTGATTTTTAGCGAGATTATCAAGTTCACATTTCAATGATCGGATACATAGCTTTTTGATTTCCATGGAATTTTGATGGCATAAAGTTTTATTTATCCAAATCTTTGATTCCTGCCTTCGAATCTAATCTAAAAACTCACGTTTCCACAAATCCCGGATTTTACGCAAAGCTCCGTTCTCTCATAAATCATTAGTTCTGCAAATCTCTGAACTTAATTCTTCATAGGAATTGATACGAGTGTGCGAACATTTTTCCCGAGTCTCACGCTACGTTCAGTTACAGAAATAAGCATGAGAGAAAGATTTTTGTTGCTGTAATAGCGAAGAATCGACTTGATTGCGCATATTGCATATTTTAATTTAATTAAATTAAATTAAGTTAAATTAAAAAAAATTAAGAACGCACGTGTAAAGTCCGAGAATGAATAAAGATAGTTTTCACGATTTGAAGAGTATATTCAAATGTTTCTTTTTTTTTTTTTTTTTTAATGAGAACAACCAAGCCATTGTCACGTAACACTCGTGCGGTAACAATTAATACTTTTGAACATCACAAAAATTTGGAAAAAAAGCTTTACGCGAGTGCGGACACTGTAACACTCAAACAAAAATTGTAATCGACAAATGACACACCTGTTACATCCGCGAAAATTGTATTTGTCATCGCTTCTGTTTAATATAATTGCCACATGTGCAATGCGTAATTGATATCGGCGTCGATATTGTTAAATTACCGAGCAATAGACAATTGATTGTCGCGGTTTTACGATAACGCGTGCGAATTTTTTGTGCGCATCGAGTTACGATGAATTTTACAAGCGCGTTCTCGTTTTTATAATTTACAGTGAACGCAATATCGCGCGATGGAATATTCAACCGAGACTGATATTCACGACGGTCTCGATTCACGACGGTCAGGTAACAAATCAAATTAACGCGCCGATGTACTAATTACGCGTTAATTAGCACTCACCCTTCCTCACGCGCTCTCGGCGCAGCGTGCGACGCGGTGACTCGGCGGCCTCTTTCGAAACCCACAACCAACTCGGTCGTTATATTAGGATATCATAATTCACGTCTTAAAGAAATACAACAGACTGACGGATCTGCGTCATGTAATTATCGTGCGAAATTCGTGTAGCTTTGCGCAGCCGGCCCGGCCGTAACATCGCTGTTTGCGGTCGCGCGATTAGGCAAGTGTAGCATGCACTTGAGATGCTGCGGTTTTCTTCTAGCCACATCGCCGGTCGCTCAGTTGTCGATGTCGGCATTTTAATAACGAGGCGGGACAGCACTCGTTTATTATGGAGATTTCATAACAAACGTCTTTCTCGCGGAATCGAGCCACGCCACGGAAAAACTTGGCTATCCGAGAGATTAGTACAATTTTAAATCCAATGCGTCTAGACTCTCTGTTCGATCGTCGGCAAGAATTGCGATCGGATTCGAATAAAGATTTTTAATGAGAATATTTAATTGATTCACAATGTGTTGAAGTCTTGTAACAGAGAGCAATTTGAGTGTTACAACGAACAAATACAACGAAATAATTGCACAATTATTATGATTATCGACAATAGGATTAACAAACCACTTTGCTCGCTGTAATTCTATTTTTAAAAAAGCTTAAAAATGTTTTGTAAATTTTATGATATTTTTAATAAACGCACGTATATTTCTGTATATTATTAAGAAGAATGGTGCAAAACGAGGCCATTCTGTCCAACGCTATTGCATAAACGGCAAGAGGTACGTCCACGTAGATGAAATTACGGCGATACATCTTTCTCTAGAAGTTCGCGCGCGCGCGTATAATAATTTAGCTCGCGATGGCAAACGCGAAATTGTTCGTAGCACGTTAAATTAAATTTGAAATTAAGCGGAGAATCGCTCGCGCCGGACATTAATGACGCGAATGACGCTAATGACGAAACGATTTAAGCACAAGCAGCGGTTTATATACTGTGCCCGGGGCTTGGATCTCGCGCAGTGAAAACTGTTACGTCCAATAGGTCTGGGTTACGGGGACATCGATTTCCTTATACACCGACGCGCTAACGTCGCTGCCGTCGCTGCTACTGGCGCAGTCTGCTTAAAAACGAAGCCGCACATGTCAATGTGTGAAAAATCGTCGATGTTCGTCGAATGATTTCTAACAATGCCAGAAGCCGACGACTCCGCGAATACGTAATCGTTGTATAATGCGCGATGAGCCGGGAAAAATGGGATTTTTATTTGGAAACATATACCAATCGAATTTGCCAACGGCAAAAATTGCAAACGACTAGAATTCCTTGACCGTGTTAATTGATTGAACGCGCGGGATTACATTTCTTCTTTTCTGATCACCTCTCTCGCCTCACCGCGGGCGTTTTTATCGCGTTTCGTCGACAAGACGATTTACGCACCGCTCAATCCTTTTCGATTTCTCGCTTTGACAATTATTGAGTTATCGAAAAAAAAAATTCGCTTTGCTGGTTTTCGTCAGCGATAAATTTAGCGACATGTTACCGAGCGCTATTTTTATCAATCCGTGTAAAAAAATCGTAAAGACTTGGCTCCGTCGCGTCGAGTCCATCCGTCCGTTTCAACGAGTCGTTTGTAAATTTTTACATGATAGTACAAAAAAAAGCTTTGTGCGTCCCTGCGGGAAAGCGTGAACTTTACTGTTAAATTCTTCGCACGGACGAACATGCACGCGTTTTCAGGACGTTCATTGACATTTAATATTCTTGCGCACATACAACCGCCTGGGTCCATCCTCGCTCTCCCGCTATGTCTATCGTCTTTTCTCTTTTTTTTTTCGTCAAGTCTCCGACACACGTGTCTTTACTATTATGCAGTGGGTAGAAAACGCATCTTAAGTACCGCGGCTGAGCGAAAGGATGTCACTGTGTAAGACGAATGCAAAAAGCGCAGTAAATAGACAATTTTGATGACTCATTTCGGAAAAGATATTCGTAGATTTTTAAAAGAGAACATCTGTGTGTAATTTTTTCATCGAAGAAAGCGCAAACATTTAATTCGTAATATAATTGCATAATAAAACAACTTGTGACACGTATATCAACGGCATTATCTAAATCAAGTTTGTCGCTGCACACGAAGACACGCTTTTACAATTTAAATTATGCATCCAGCTCGAAAAATGTTTCAAAAACGTGTTTCAACCTCTTTGAAATTGGGCCATCGATTTGTCGATTGCGCTAAAATCAAAATTACTTTCTTTCCAGGACAGTTTTATTTTTCTCGTCGTCGTCGCGCGATTGGTCAAATTAGTAAGAATATTATATTCGAGAAACGCGCGCGCACGTGTGATGCGAGGTTTATATTAAGAAGCGTATTGGAGAATATCTTGAGGCGATCGAAGATCATTTCACTCAGTTCAAATCAATCAAATATAATGTCGAGAATTTTACTTATTATAGAAAGTTTACATAGCGTGCGTTGCTCAATTTTTACGCGTTCTTGGATTATATTACTTAACACGAATTGTGAACAAATGTTTTTTTTTTTCCTATTAAATATTGTTATCTGAATCCATCACGGATTTTATAACCGAGAGTGCGATGTACCGGGAAATCGCGGTAAATTAATAATTGCTTTATTAGCAGCTATAGTGACACAACTCGTCGATGCACTGTGTACAGGTTAAAACCTTTCAATGTTTTCTCGCCGCTCTTTGCATCACTGCGTTTACATTTTTATTAGAGTATGTGCTATAGCCGAAAGATGTCGCAAACTTTTCTTGTTTCCTCGCGTGTTTCGTAATGTTTAATCTGTGTAGATAAATGTCACGAGATGTGTGTGAAAAACTAATAAACAATTTTCTTATATATATATATATATATATATATATATATAATATATGCGTAAAATCAAAAGAAAATATAATAAAAAATGATTTTTACTTTACAATCTTTTTCATAAGCGTTTGCTTTTTGTAAACCAACTTCAAAATTCCTTTGCAATTAAAAAAAACTAACAATTTATAAGTATCGAAAAAGTTAGTAGTTTTTTGTGTTATATAAATGGACGCAAAACTTTTAACTGTAATAACAAATATTTGTTGAATAATTTGGAATGATTATTGTAACTGAAAGTGAAGAGAACACAGTTGTTATTCGTTAGTTGTTTTCTTGACACTTGACGCGTTTGACCGTTTGTTGTCATAAATATTCGAAAAACACAAAGATAAACTCAATGGCATCTGCATCGAGTATGTGAGTGCAACAAGTGTGTGTTCAGAATCATCGTTGTGCGTTTCGTGCTCACGCATGTGTGTATATATTTGTGTATTCTCATCAGAGTATACTCACTTTCTTCGAGGATGCGGTGACCAAAACGAGCAATCATCATTTCTCACTCTCACTCTCACACAATGATTCTCACACTTGCTTCTCTTTTCTCTTTTAGCTAAGAGGCTTGCTTGCGGCTTTGACATTAAACGAGTTCGAGGACAATATGCGATTTTAATAAAACGTTCAGTTAAACGTCACACGCATCACACACAACCCTTCTAATAAAAATTCTATAGCTACTTTTTCAAAGTGAGATATAAACACTTATTAAAATTATTATTGTTTTAATGTAAAATTTAAATTATATGTAATTATAAGTAAGTTTTTTCTAATTTATTTAAAAGTTATATAACAATATTAAGTAAAAAGTTTAGAAATACCTTAATTTTTATAGTTTTTGACATGTCGCGAACGCGAGAGAAAAGAAATGTAATTTATCACACACATTTCTAAAGTAAAAGTATCGACAATTTCTCTCTTAGAGCCACAGAGTATATGTATACGTGTCAATATGATATGTTTTAGAATTAAAAAGTAAAGTGACTCACCTATAAGTGAAATCCTTTTTGCGGAAAAACTGTTGCCACCAGATAGTCGATCTTTCTTCGGTCCGAAGATTTGCGTTGTGCGCGCGCTTATGAGAAAGGTGAGAGTGAATAGCTGGGAGCATCTTCATTCAAGCTTTATATAGGTATTGTATCCCCTTACCTAGGCACACTCTGTAGAAAGAGCATGCCATCACCAAGCCTCCCGTAATTTTATCATCAACGGGAGATGAAAAAAACGCTCGCTGACGAAATTGCATTAGGCGAAAATATCCCACATTCGAAGTTCCACCCAACTCTACGTTCTCAAAATTTATTAAATTTATCTTGAAATATATAAATTACATTTTTTTATTATCTTATGTCACAATCGGAGATATATATATATATATATGGTTTATATTATTCAAAATATTTTGGTCCTGCAATGTCTAGTAACAAAAAAAAAATAGATATTTTACTATTATTTGTAAATATTTGAAAGTATTTGTAAATATTAGACACTGCAGGATAAGATATCATTTTAAAACTTAATATACTATAATATACTATACTATGATAATTGTTATATTATATAACTAAAATACGATTACTTAATTATTATAAGATAATGAAAAATTAAATGTATAGAGTTAGATATATATTATTTATTTACTTTGTTGGTATATTTTTACTTTAGTGTACATAAAAATACAAAAATACTAAAATTGTATGTCATAAATGTGATTTGGGACATCGTCGCAAAAGTTCAATAATATATATTCTCTGTAATAAAAATAGCATACGTACCTATTGTGTATCTTACATCTTTCTTCTTCGAGCATTTTGTTTTGCTCCGCAAAGTAAATCGATGAGAAACGATTAAATGATTTATATGCCCGATATTATCGGAGGTGCAGCATCGCTTCCTCAGAATTTGCGCTTAAGAAAGTGGCTTTCTGAGACACGTTCAAGAATAATGATGATAATGTATGAATTCTTACGTTCAGATATTTGTCACCCTTACAAGGAGAGACGACACCGCGATTCTTTTCCGGGTTATAAAACGCGTTCCTAATTTGGCGATCAAAAAATTGAGATTTTTGCGCGAGTAAAACACAATGTCCCGTCTTCTGTTAGAAAGGAAAAATGAATTTTCCGGATGCGACCTAATTCGTTTGTCCTGAATTCGTTTAAAATTCACCAAGCAGATGGGTCGTACGACGTTCTTCTCTCTTATGCAATTGTGCCTTGAAACACTGCTCTCTTCTATGGCATTCTATGATAATTACATGGCAGCTATAGTACTTGAATTAATGAGGTAACAAAGAGAGAAAATATTCTTACATACTTAGACACTATGAATTTCACACATTCCTACGATTCTTTGATAATTACTAAAAATACAAAAGTTTAATTACTTACTATTATTTCACAGAAAAAAAAATAGAGTTGCTTCAATTAAAGTTGACGTCACGGGCTGCCACAAAAATAAATAGTTCACTCAATTGCGTATGCGATTAATTTAATGTCTAGATTCTTAAAGCAACTATCTGTGTATAGTGAAATGATATTGATGTTGCATCAACAGGATATATTTCAATTAAACCGATACTGTTGATTCAACATCTTTTTTTTCCGTGTTATACAGATTGCATTTCATTTTGTAATCTGTTATAAATACTCTCTCTGTATTATTTAAAGTTGTCTACAAAATTTTAACAGTTTCCTGTAGAAACGGAGCTATAAAAAGATGTAACATCTCAGAGATATCAAATCTCAATTAACTTTACATTCACGAGACCTACTTATAAATTGAATTCAGTTAAATATGTAAGACATTTTGTCATATTCGTGACAAAATCTGAAGTTTTATCGACAAGGCAACTCTTAATCAAGAGAATAAAGAGTTTATAAAAGAAAAAGTTAAATGGAGGGCAGTAAAAAAAAAAAAAAACAAATCGTGCGATAACTTATTTGTGAGCATATTTGTGACTCCGATACCGGGACAATAAAAAAATGACCAAGCGTGTTGATAATCGATCGAGTTCCGCGTGGTTAATGTTTACGCGTCGAAACAAAAAAAAATATATCTCTATCTCACTCTGGCGCCATGATAAATTCAACCGAGTGTTCCATTAAGCGCGGCAGTCAACGTACGTGTTAAATAATTCAGCATGTTCTCGCGCGATTCAACCGATGTTCGCGAGGGTTGCAAATGCGATGCGGGAAGCGCATCGATGCACCTGACGCTGCCTATCATGCTTCATTAGATGTCATTAAATCACCACCGCGCATCTCGCGAGAACATATTTCGAAGATGGATTTTGTCCGATCTTTTGTTTGCGTGCGTACGCAGTAATTTTGGATACAAATACAATACCGATGCGAGTGCGGACGCGCACGCAATGTGCTGCCATCTGCTCGTTCGTGCGACATTGTTGCGGCGCCGCGCCGCGTGACGATTTTCTGCGTTTCTGTGAGAAAATACGCGCGTTATTAAGTCGCGTATGCTGTTACGTCGAGTTCGGGAAAAAGTTTTACGGCGTGGTTAGAATTTTCTCCGTGGCCTGCGGTGTGCGATTAACCCGGTTGAGCAACGCATCGTCGCCAGCAGGAACCGGACGAATAAAAGGAGCAGGCTTCTGCCTTATTGACGCGCACCTAGAGAATCGCACGTTTCGTTTTCCGGAATATAACTCGGACACTCGCAATCTCGCTTGTGCGCTCAATAAATTTAACGAGATAATCTGGGGTTACTCACGGTTCACGCCTCATGAGTTTCATCCTGCTCTCTCGTGGTTTCGCGCGAACGCGCGAGAGATTTTGCTTCGCTTAGGAAATAGTGAAGGAATGAAATCATACGGAATAAAAAATATAACGTATAAATTTTTTTCAAAGTGATACTGTGTTTTCAGTTTTTTTATTTTATTGTAACTGACAGAGTTTGCTATCTCTCTGAAAAGAACATACACAATATTCGTTAATATATATAATCGACACATTATCCGTAGGCTGTATAATTATTCCTCGTTACCGTAACTCTCCCAACCATCCCCCATTACGTCACGCGTCAAATAATAAAACCATCACGTGCCTCGGCAACCAATTACCTTCACACACGCACTTGGTGCGCGGAACCGCGCGGAAAAAGATTGTCGGTGGCTCGTGCGCTATTATCGTGCCTTAAACGTACGTCTAAAGACGGGATGAGGGAAAGAAATACGCGCATTACGTATACTAAGATTAGCAGTAAATAACACGTAGAAAATACGTAGAAAAAGAAAAAAGCGCGAATATATGCACGTATGAAAAAAAAAACTATATGGAAAAATAAGACATAATTATTAACAAAGAGAGCAGAAAAAATAAAACAATAATATAATTATTTACACGCATAATTGTAATAGCTCTTGAAAACAAAATGACTAAGTACATTTTAAACAGCGTATTTTTTTTCTGCACAGTTTCTCTCTGACATAATACTTACTATCCATGATAATAGTAATAATTTTCAATATCAAATAATGTAACAAAGAAAACACATGTCGAGATCGTATATAAACGCAGCTCTCTGTCCACTGTACCGCACTGTCCTTAGTTAAAATATCCTGTCTCGCATTTTTTGCATTTTTCACAAGATATATTGCGATATTGGAAGTTCTACACACATTTCATCTTCTAAATAAAGCTAGAAAGTCCTAAAGGCTTTATAGATGTTTAGAAAGTGTTCAACTTAGTTGTCCTAACTGCTGATATGGCACAAACAAAAGAATAAAACATCAGTTTTTTCCGATTCTTCCGATACGCTAGATAGGATATTTTAGCTAAGGAGAGGACAGTGTGCGTCTCTGACGTTAATCGTCATACGCACCGAGAGTTGTAAGGACATTAACTGACCCATTACAGCGGCCTGTTTACATAATTTGGTTAGATCTTCGAGCACCTTATGTCGCATGTCGAAATGCACCACGATCGCAGCGCAGCGGAGTCCATATCTGTGTGTGATAATCAGATGCCATCAATCAAATCACGCAGAGCTTCGTGGAGAAGAACATACGCGCGGTCTCAAGTGACAAGCCGCCGGCGAGATTGGATATTTGCACCTCCATTTCGAAGCTCGAGATTATTAATTACCGTTACTGCCATCCCCGCGCACAGCTATCAATCGCTGCGCCCAAGTTTCGAGATAATCATCAAGTTCTAACAAGCGCTTAATATCCGATCGCTTCCGGCCCAATTTTCCCGACATCCGGCTTGAGTTCTCTTCGAAACGTTTATGGAAGACACAAATGCGATTGCTGACCGGTGAACGTTTCCGAAGCGATTTACGACGGAAAAGAGCAACTCTCGCGGCGATTTCTCTTGAAATTCTATATTTGCTTAAACTGACCACATATTTTGCACGTTTGTATTTATAGCACAAAGGTACGGTGCAGAGGGTGTCGTTGCGTTAATTCCGCACGTTGGTTGATTCGTCGGACGCGATATTTGCAATGCAAATATTCACGTGTGCGGACTATTAATAAAATCATATTTTGTTTGTATCATTTTGCGATATATCCGGGAATAGAGCGTGCGATATTCTCTCTCCTAATCGTTTTAACACGATTGCCCTCTTATTTGTGCGAGATTACCGACCTAATTGGCACGTCTTGTAAGATAAGGATCGCACTTCGCAGGCGATCTTCTAATCTCGCGATAATTCGCATATTAATTCGCTTGGTAACGAAATCCGTGACGACTATATTATTATTTCATCGCACGACGAAATCCGGTGATTTTTTTAAGTCGGAGATAACTCAGTCGAGCACTTTGTGAGGTTAATCACCGTTCATTTATCACTTGTTCGTTTCTTACGTCGATAAATAGAATTATCGTTACGCGCGCAATTTGTCAAACGTATTCTCGTTGTATTTAGCGAAAAAGATATTTCGGTGAAAGTTGGTCGTATATTATTCACTAAATCTCGCCAAACTATTTTGTCTCGATGTACAACCGTATGTATAACTATATGTTTAAATAATATGAACTATAAATAATTAAATAACATAAACCATATAATTTAATATAATATATTTAATATATAACTATATATTTAAATTATACACAGCGCGCGAAAAAAAAAATCAAAACAGATTAATGATTTCTATTTCAGTGGCAAAGCTTGGTCGCTTTGTGATGTTCGAAATACCTCCCTTGCGGTTAAAGCTTTTAATATTCATCGCGCGAAAATATAGAAAAGCGAAAAATTTACGACGAAAATCTTGAGCTTTTATTTAATAGTAACGGGATTGCGAGATTGAAACTGCGCGTATCAAGCAAGCGGCGGAGCAAAATCACAAAGTTTCGAGGCGCGACAGTACCAAAAGCCAGCGCTTTTTATCGCGCCGACTAAAAATCGATGCGAGGTCGTATTTTTTTGCAACGTTCGCGCCCGAGCAATTTCGCAACGCCCACTTTATATCCGCGCTATTTTACGCCGCACACAAATTTATTTTGCGCGTTTATCGTAGATCTTACAACATCGCGGCGTTTCTCGCTCCGCGCTAATCCCGTCCATATTCCCGACGTGCCGGGGTTTGATCGCGATTTCGCAATACCTCTTGTGATGTCCTATCGAAGTTCTCTTTTCATCCCCCGCGATTGTGTTGCGCGCGTCGATGATTCCGGCCTGTGGCAATGTGATGGCACAAAGCTAAGATACACCGGCGTTTCACGGGCGATCTCGTAGATTGAAAAAGTGAGAAAGAAGAATGAAGCGCTAAGAGGCGCCAAAGACAAATTTCAAACACGCTTCTTTGAAGTTTCTCAAGCGTGAACGATTCGTCAATCGATTCGTTTTCTGGGTTACCACCTGTCGTTCGCCAGGATTATGCAAAGTTCCCGGTCGGCGGTGGACCGCGGAGAAAATGTGTAATTAATCAGCGGATATTGTTGAACGCTTCGCCGTGAACGCGGTTGCTCGCGAGCGCGCGTTTTACGACCTTACTATACCGCCTCACAAAAGAGCGCTGTCACTTTCTCGGCGAGACGCTCTTCCCGAAGAGCGGACGAACCTAGATTACTTACAGATATTACGAATGTTGCACGCGCGCACGACAAAAAAAAAAAAGAAAAAACCAAAAATAATGCAAAAATTCGTGAGAAATTTTTCTTATCGGTCCGCTCGTATCTCGAGAGCTAATTTTTCATGAATTTTATCGTTCCCGTTTTAAATGACGAACAAAGAGCGCTCATGGTATTTGTTTCGCGTGTACGCCGCGGTTTCTCTCCCGTGTAAACAAAGCCGACCAAATCTTTTTTTCTTTTTTTTTCGAAACTGCTTCCCGAACTGCCGCAAATTGCGTTAACTCCTACTCGCCTGTAGACCGTGGAGCGAGGCGAGATCTCTTCAGGAAGCTCCGAAGACGGGCAAACATTACGCAAACAACGATACGTCGATGTAGTCATCACGTAGGAGACGCAGTTCGGACGATAGAAAGTTACAAGTGTCCTGTGGGCATACAATTACAATAACAGCAATACGCTCCTGTAATATCGGAGTTCGCGGATAAGTATCTTAAGGAAGAAGAAAAAAAAAAAGAAGACGCGAGGAAGAGATGAATGGTCCGTATATAACGCCTCGTGTAACACAATCATTACAATTGTCGTTACTTATTTCATCTAAGCGCAACGTAAAAATGCAATCTCGAGGAGGAATTGCGTAAGGAAGAGGCTGCCGCCGTGCAATTCCGTGAGGAGATCTTCTCAATAGCGAAACGCGTAATATTTCATCTCTTTCGTATCGTTGTCACGGGTCAAGCGTTTTCAAGCGCGCTCATTCATAATCTCTGGTGTATAACAAGTACATCGCGACAAAAAATGTGCGCATCGCGATAGCGGGATTTGCATGTCGAAACAAAAGACGAGATAGAAGTCAAAAAAAGTCTTCAGAGAATCTTCAGCGAAAAGGTGTCTCTTAAGGCGAGAGAAGATTACAGAGGAATTGCGAGTTCACAGAGAGAAAAATGTTGCCGTACCGTCTGTCGGAGTGCAACGTCGGTCGCAGGAGAGCTCAGTTCAGCAAGGACGAGCGTCTGCATCTTCTGAACATAATGACTCAGTACGAGCCACTGCTGGACGATAAGAACGCATCGGTATTTGATCGCCGAGAAATCTGGCGCGCGATCGAGCGGGATTTTCATCAGGCGGGTTTCACCAGAAAGACCTCGGCGCAGCTGAAGAAGTACTGGCAGAACTACAAGTATCACGGTAGACGGGCACAGGTTAATCAAAGTGAAATTGTTACGAATATCTTTTCGGACGCGCTCGAAATGAAATGAAATAAACGTCAATGGATGACTTGAAATTCGTCTGCTAAATACAACGCTCGTTTTTTTCTCGACTTCGCCTTCGGCTGTCTTTCTTATCGCGGCTTTTTCTTTCTCCGCTCTTGAATCTCTCTTTGTTTTGCATTCATAAGAGTTTCGAAGTGGACGTGAATATACATATATCTTGTGTGAGGTATAATAACGTCGAACAAACACGCGCGCAATAACCTTCGCGCGTTACAGAACGGTTTATTAAAACGTTGCGAAAGATCAAATTACAACTATCGTCTGAAGATCGAGTTCACTTTTTTTCGAGCTTACTGAATTTACGACGTCAACTGGCACCAAATTGCGCCAAATCTGTTTGATCATTTGCCAGAAGTCATTTAAACTCTGTGTTTACACACACGTACATTCTTATAAATACTCGCGCGTATTTTGTGTCATTCTTAGCAATAAATACGAGATAATTTCGTAGAATATAACAGATGTGCATAAATAATAATAATAATGTAGATATACGCTCTTTAAATCGACTTTTCGGCGGAATGTATAACACAGGTCGTAAAGAAGCGCTCGAGTTCAACTTCGAGAGAAGGAGACAACGCGACGAAAGAGACGGTGCATCCGGAAGTGATACCTGGAAATCGTGATAATCTCGAAATGACAAAGATCATCGCCAAGGAATCGGCCACTCCCTTCGTTCCTTCTTCTTATTCCGACACGTCGCTGCGGAACGTCGTCGAGTCAGGATGTCGTCAACGCGAGATATACGAGAATAATGGAACGTTCTTCCGGATATTAAGTGCCACATCGATTCTACCGACCGGTACGTTTTCCAGCTTATCTTACAATTTTAACGGAATATCATCGTTTTTAAGACCTCCTGCGGCGATAACACGCCAGTCTAATCTGTCTCCTGCGATCTCTTTCCAGTTATAATTATTCACTTTCGCAAATTAGGGCTCTTCCTATCGGGACGGTGCCATCGGAGAACGCATTGTCCGAGTTACGCTATAGAAAGTTGAAACGCAAGAGATTGTAATCAACGTGGCAAACATGAAAAAAAAAAAAATTCTTTTTATCAATTGCTAAAATCTCGTATCATCTTTTCTTCACGTACAATCAAAACGGTCTATGTGCATTAAAACAACTTTTAAGTTTTATTACCGTGTCGGTATATGTATATATATATATATATGTATATACGTACGTACATATATATATATGTATATAAAGTTCCAATATTAGCGTCATTGTTTATAAAGCGCGCTCCAAAAATATCTGGAACTTTTCAATACCTTAGTGTGTGCCGCGACGATAAGCTACTTGTGCGGAAGTACTCGGCAGTTTCTAAAACGCTCAAAGTTTTATTACGTTCCCTACCCTTATTATGGTACCGCTCCTTTATCGTTAGTTCGGAGAAAATTTTGCGCTTCTTTTTAAAATGCGTCAGATTTTCTTGAGTCAATAAGCGTTCTCTTTTAGAGTCGTTTGAATTGTCCGGAATTAGATCTTGTCAAGACTTTATATAATGCGACCAAGTTGTTTCCTTCTTTTATTATTCCATTCATTTATCGCAAGTCTATCAAAGAATATTCGCAGATTTTTCGTCGCACGGCTTTTATCGTGTTTTTAAAACATGAAATCTTCATCGACGCATCTACCGCGTGTTGTTTGTTACGTTATCACGATCGTGCGCGTGAGTACAGCGAAGAGATAACATCTTTATACCGCGTATCATTTAGCAGATACTTTAGAAACTTACAATTTCTAGATTTAGATTCATTAGAAGAAAATCGATCCATTTCGGAGATCTCGCAGAAAAAGATAATCTCGGGTGAGGTTTATGAGGAATCAAGGTCATCGGATGTGATAGACCATAAGTCGGAGAAACGAATAGGCGCCGACGTGATAGTATCTAACACCGACGTTTCGGACAATAGTGTGACTGTGTCAGTGATTTGCCCTGAAAGAACTCCCGAGCTTTTCAACAAGAATTTTCAACCGAAAAGAAAACGCGAGGACGACGCGTCGCTAGATAGATCTTCCTTTCAAAGCCACGTTTCCGTCGCCTCAGGTGAAAGACTTTAATTTAATTTTTCTACAGTTCTTTTTTTTCCCTTCTTCTCGAGCATTTTCTTTTATCGTATGTTGCGTACTACTTAAAAAAAAAAAAAAACAACTAATAATTGCGGCGTATTGTTATTTTAACGTTCTTTCTTATTCTTAATTTCGATTGTTAACAATAAAAAAATGTTACTTTATTATATCTATATGCATTTTGAAAACTTCGGGACTATAATGGTCACTTAAAATGTCATTTTGTCGAAAAGAAAGATATATTGACATTTTTCTTCTTCTTTCACTTGAATAAATTTATCTTTGTCTGAATCGTAAGTAAAAAGATCGCAAAAAACGAAAGTCAGAATTGCGCACAAATTGCTGGCGTGTCGCGGGAACAAAAAATTTTCACCTTTCCGTTCAACCACCAGCTGCATCCCCGGGCAAAAAGCGCAAGGACGACGAACACTTCATTTTCTCGACTGTTGCTGGCGCTGCGAAAGGACGGTGCTTCTTGCTGCAACCCCGACAAACTGATAATCACGGAGAAGTAATTAGCGACAGAAGGAATGCGACGGTGGAGACGCACCGGAAATTGGAGTTGGCGAAGAAAACCTCCGTCGCTTTACCGTCGACATTCGCGTCGCGAAATGAAATCTCGAAATCGGCGACAAAGAATCCCCCCGCGATTTCCACGGAAAACTTTTCGAAGGATTTTGTCGCTTCTCGTGACGAAGATATTCGGGAATCGAAGAAAGGAAGAAGACGCGAATCGAAAAGTCACGGAACGTCGCAAAATCAACGAGATGATCTCGACACGAGCGATTCTGCGAGACCGAGTATCAGCGTACGTGCGGGATTATGGGATCGGAATACAGTCAGTCCGGTCGAATCAGAATTGACCGACGAGCTCAACTATCAGCTGATACTACATCGGCTAGAAGTATGATTCCGTCTTTATTTGGACTTTTCACAATAAGATTCGCCTGATCACGAGAAAAACGATTATGTTGCAGACCGAAGAAAAGCGATTGAAAGTGAAACTCGCTGAGATGGCTATTCAGGAGATTCGATTTAGAATTCGGGCTGTGAACGAGGACATTCGGCGCGCGGATGAGCTGCACGAGTTGCATCTGGCGCTTGCGACGGCTCAAGCGGGTAAGCCAGGTTGGATCTACGATATTGCGAAAGCGCATTCACCGGGATACTGTCATCCGCAGTCAATGGCTCCATTAATTTTTTTTCCCCGCTACGTGCGGCGTGGTGCGCTCACGTCATTTCGATTTTTCACGAGATATATATCCGATAATCCGACGTCTCGTGCAAGCGTGCGGAATTTTTCTACCTATCGAACATAAATAATCGTCAGAGAAAATATTTTTCACAGAAAAACACGTTTCCATGAAGATCCGTGACTTTACCTCACAATATTGAGCGCGAATACAACATTTCAGTCCTCGCGCGCGAAATAAACACATAAATACCGCGTAAAAAAATTTAGCGTTTTTTTCCGTTCGCTTGCATATTTTTGGTAAATAATGCTGCGCACGCATATTTATTATTTTACGTACTTATTTATAACTTCCAATGTATAAAAAAAAACTTTTATTTTTATCAGCAGAACACTCAAGATTACACGTTTAAGAATGACAAAATGGAATCGAGAGAAGTATATCTCCGGAAAGAGGATAGACGTAAAAAAAACCTCATAAAACGGCTGTGTGTGCTTGAAATTATTTTTATTAATCATCATCATATTATCGCATGTCACGATGTTGTCATTTAGAAAAAACGCATGGGACCATACAAAATAACAATGCGCTTAGATTTTTGTAATAACCGAGCAACGTCTCGAAGTCGCGTTTATTTGTTGCGTTCGCTCTCTGCTTCGTTATTGAGTTTTTTTTATTTTTTTATTTTTTTATTTTTTGTTGTTTTCTCTTTTCTCATATCTGTCGCAGGATCAGAGCAAGTGCAACCATTTCAACGGATCGTCGATCATACAACAAACTACGGAACAATGATTTTTATATCATCTAACAAGACACGTCCATTACTCCTTCTTTTCTTCTTTCCTTCGTCGTTTCATAAAACTTTTTCCACCCTTCGTTAAACTTTCCACTACTTTAGCACCTTCTCCGTTTTCCTCACTTCATACTTAATGTTTTTCCTTGTATTTTTTTGTTTTAGTGATTGTTAATAATTATCACAGAAAGTTCGTAAAACAATAATGTTGAGTTTATTAAGTGTACGTGTCTCTGTCCGTGTCTCCCCATCTATATATATATATATATATGTGTATATATATATATATATATATATGCGGAATGAATACAATGTTGTGTGTGTGTGATGTGTGACAATGTGTGTGTATGTGTTTCGCGGGTGTGTCTTTCGCGAGAGTGTATATTATGCTTTTAGACGGAAAAGTTTCGCACGTTGCTGCAAATATAGTAAGAGTAGTTAGCGTTAGAATACACATTAGCGATAATAGTAGCGGTACAAGTAGCGATAAATATAACGGTACACATTAGAATAGCCTTCGTATTTCGCAGCGCTTAAGAATAGTAATATAATCTTACTATACAGTAGAGAATATAGTTTTTTCTTTATTTTAATATGAGTTAGAGAAAAACTCTTTTCGCCGGTGCATAAAATTAAAGAGAGAGAGAAAGAGAGAGAGAGAGAGAAAAAAAAGAAGGAAGAGAAAAGAGAGAAAGAAAAAGAAGAAAAGAGAGAGAGAGTGAGTGAGAGAGCGAAGATAATTGTGGAGAGAAATGTCGAAAAAAATTTCACACTTATTTTCCATGCTCTATTCAATTCCTCTTTGCACAATTCCATTACTTGTCACCTCTCAGAGCGCTTGTTCTCGGAAGTGACTGTCGAAAGAAAAGTATATGAAAATAATTTACAACATTCGTCGTTATATATATTTACACATCGTAATTTTGCAATGTAGACTGGGAGTATTGTGTATGTTTCACATTCACAGCGTCGATTAATCAAGAATGAAACTTAAAATACACGCACTCTAGGTTCGTTCCAGAACTGTTTTTTTTTTTATTCTACTTTGAAATGATTAGAAAATTTGGTAAATAAAAAAAGAAGCTATAATAGTTCCGAAGCACTTTGTATAATTGCATAGACGTGTTCTTCTTACGTCAACCTTCCATAACTCACCGCCAAGTAACGCCCTAAAGCTATTTTTATCTACCGCCGATATACCAATTCTCTATAGCTTCGAGACAACCAACACTTGCTGAAGCAATGTAATCAGAGCGGTTCGATAACAATCGAAAAATCTGCGACAGAAGACATTGAGCTTCGCGATTTTTTTCAAGGTACATAAAATCTGCAACACAGATGTATGTTTCCTATAGTCGTACGTTAATAAAAATAACGCAATCTCTACAATGTATGTGTGTGTATGTATACGGGTTTTGAAAATATGGAATGCGAGTTTTGGAAATTTTCATAGAAATTCAAATTATCCGGAATCGATCGAATCTTAATATCATTATCATCACAAACCATTCCATTTGTTTCCGCGACAGCGCAAATCAAAGATTGAGCTCGAGAGCGCGCGCATATAAGATCGCGATAAAAGTATCGAATTCCGTAATCTCCGTGAACGGGTGAGTGTGGAAAGAATTTGCTGATGTAATGGACAGATTTAATCGCGGAAGCGTCTTTTGTCTCGACTCACGTCAAAGCCTTTGTCGCAATTTAGAGACGGAAGCCTTACTTGATTGCGGTACGGATATCTCCGAATGAGCCATCTGTGAAACGACTAATTTCTCATTTTCATCGTAATGTAGCAAAATTAAATTCTTTACCGTCGCTATAACGGCTTTAAATTAATTACCGTAATGCGCTTTAGGGCATTCGAGCGTTTGCCGTGTTGTATAATGTGCGATAAACGGTTATACAAGTACGGAGGGACTTTGAGACTTTGTTGAATGAATTAAATTTGCATTGAAAACTCTTATTTCACAGCCATTAGAGCGCTATCAAAATGACATCGAGGCGACTCGGCGTTTAAAATTATGTTAAATCGTAAAAAGTAAAAACGCGCACGACGATTTAAAAAGATATTCTATCGCGTTGATCTCGCTCAAAAATAAATATGCGAAAATCGGTTTAACGAATACAAATGGAATAGTTATCCCGGCTTAATATAGTTCTCGGAGTTCTTTGCGTCGCGATTACTCTTCCGGATTTTTTTTTCCCCCACTTTCGTTATGCCGATCACGCTCGAGTTCGTTAATCGTTAATTACTGTTGATGACGTTCCGTGGATGACCGCTCGCGAAAAGACAAACCGAGACGAACGCAGAAAACTGAGAAAATCCGCCTGTCAGGTCAGGCACGTTGCGCTTTTTGATTTTTCTTTCGCACACGTCTTTTTCGTATCAGCGCTTATTGCCTCGTCCATTTCGTTTGTCTTGTGTTTTCGATTTTCTTCCTCCGTTCTTTTCACAAATTACAAGAAACCTTGTACAAAGCGTTCACTACGAGAATTTAATTTAACACGAAAAGCATCTAGGATTTTCACTAAGCGAGATTCGGTTCTTACACTTATGCTTTCCCGTTGAAAATTGTAAAAATTGCTTAAGACGATTTTTTTTTTTTTTTTTTTTATTCACTTAATAACCCCTTATACGAAGGTACACTTAACTCGATACACCACCACCACCGATCGTTCGTGTATCTTTTTATCTTCCGCTCCTTAAGCCCGCGGTGAAAGTTCATCAGCAGAATTAACTTTGCGCGCGGCGAAAAAGAGGTTTTTAGACTTTGACGTTTGAGAAAATACTCTACGCGTGGGACGTCCGCGGATGTTGGAAAAGCTAAGCTTCCGCTATAGAGCTGATGTGGATTATTTCTTTCTCATTAAACGCTCTTCAAACTTCCGCTTCATTGTGGCGCATAGTCCGTCCGCTGAACTCTTTCACCGTCCGACACGTCGGTGAGACCGACGTTGACGATAAAAACTCTCGGTCGCGGAAAATTCTTTCGCTCCATTTGGGATCGGCGACACAACGACACATTTCCCTACCCTATAGATCTCTTCTTCGTATTGCACTTTTTGACTCGCAATGATGTTGCGCCGTAGACGCGTGATAGAAAAATAGAACTTTCGATCGCCGCGACAATTCGTAGAAATAAAGACCTTGCGCAAAAGAGAGAACTTCTCTCTTGGTTGAAGTGATCGTTGTGCAGAGAATCGCGTCGTTGTTCGCTCACCACCCCCGACTGTTTCATACGTCACCGGAGTAATTCGTTCCCATCGCGCGGCGCTGCGCCGAACGAGTATGCACGCAACTTGGGTCGAGTTGCACCCACAGTCTGGTTTAACTAACTCCAAGTCTGTGTGATTCACTATCTTCGGCTAGATTACAGTCCTACTCGAGCGAATTCTCTGACAAATTTAGGGATTAGATTTGATCAAATAAGATTAAAGTAAAATCAAAGTTTGGCGGTGAAGTTCAGTACACTTCGCAAAGTTTAAACATTCGTAAATGCGAAAGTAAGTGATAAAATATTTATTTTCACGCTTGATCTTTTAAGAGAAAGAGAGAGAGAGAAAATGTGTGTGTGTGTGTGTGTGTGTGTGTGTGTGTGTGTGTGTGTGTGTGTGTGTGTGTACACTAAACAAAGTTTGATTGAAACTCTTAATCATCAAAGTACCTAGTAGTGAAAATTTAAAATTCTCTAAATTTATCAGAGTCTACGCTCTTAAAGTTTACTGAAAGTTCACGAGAAAAACCTCGCGCAGATAGAGAGAGACAAAGAGAGAGGAAACGATAAGTTTACGCTAACTGATGTTAGTGCAATCAGAGCTCTTAACGCTCGACAGCGATTAAAAACCTTCGCCACCTAAGTGTTCCGCACATTATTGCTAGAGTTCAAGTGATATCCAGACTGCGTTCGGAGCAGACTTTAAAACGCGGTTGCATCCATTTCCTCGGACAGGTCGGAGTGAGGGAAACCGGTTATCAAAGTGCGCGCGTTAAGTTCGCACTTACCTCTCTCTCGTGGGAAAAATCGCTTCCCTCTCGACGCATCGAAACTGTTCTCACCCCGACTTGTCAGAGTCACGGCATGTTTTGAGGCATGCTTGAAAAAAATTTCACATGACATCGTTCTCGTCCACGATTCCGCGAGGCAAGCATGCACGCAAAAGTCATAATCGCAAGGTATACATATATATCGTAAAGTAAAGTCTTCTTAGTCGAAGCGGAGCTGTTATCAGCAAAACAAATGTAGATCTCGTGTAATACAGTGACATTAGTGTGAGATCCAAGTTTCAAAGTACTCTTACTTCTGAGGAGAGTTTACTTTAGTAACGTAGAAAGTATAAAAATAACGAGCTGACGATTTTCATTCGGAGTTTGCTTGTGCCGCGAGTAACTTTCAAAGTAAGAGACTGAAAATGCACAAGTAAGTTAAGCGACCGTGACAAGATTGAGAATCCTTTATAAACCGTAAGATATTTCACTAAGAATACTATTTCCTTATATGGCGCTACAGTGATGATAACAATATAGTAATATATTTCTCCAAGAGTATATAAATCTACGTGTACGAACGATGAAGAACAGATGAAATTATTTCATGCTGCATAGTATATCTAATAGTTGGGAATATAATAGTTATATTATTCTACTAGAATTTATATAGAAGTATGAAATATTTCGTTCAACTTTACGCAAATTTCAATTTCAATCATTTTTGTTTATTATTCTTTGGACTTTTATATATAGAATTGAGATTATTCGTAGTAACAGTAGTATTATATTTGTATCTCAAATTTTCAATGACTAAATCGTGTTCGTGTGAGAACTATAGAAAAATCCAACGATAACTCGCACTAAGAAGTGCGGAGAGAACTGAAGAGAGATTAAAATAAATGTATAAACGAATTATGACACTAGCACGAGGCGCGATGTGAAAAGTGATATGAAATATTTCACCTTTTTGATGACAAGTTCTCGCATAAATCTCCGCGCACACACGGGGCTTCGGGACGTGTGAGTAAATTTGTTCGGTGGTGTAAAATACGCGTCATGAAATTCTCGTTATTTAAACGAAGTCTCTGCGAGAGACCTCGGTTTAATGCGCGGCGCGCGTGCACAACACGTGTTGATCTTTGACAATATTTATATTCGTATTATAGGAAAACGTTGCCGCGCATGCATCTGAAGACGATCTTTGCGCTTGCTAACGTTTCGGATAACATTGTTGTTTGTTGTTCGAGGGTGATTAAAACGACGCGCCACTCGTAACAATTAAGGCGACTTCGTGAGCCAGGTGCAGCTTTGTGTCGGCGCATTAAAGCTTTTCCCAGCAGCAATTCACTTTCTTCCGTGTTTCACCGCCGTGGCGTTTCGCCAACATTTGCTCGATTTTATGTCTCGTCAGCGGGCGAGATGATTTGTCGCACGAATAACACTTTCTATCTTCCGGCGCTGTTGCTCGAAATATCTTCTCTTTCAATTGTTCCTACTTTTATATGTAAACATTTTCCCTTTGGTTGATAAATATTGTCTCTCTTTTTCTCTCTCTCTCTCTCTCTCTCTCTTTCTTTCTCTCGCGTGACAAACAGCGAAAAACACTGATACATACAGTGTCTTCGTATTAATTTTACGGTGATATCACCGATGTAGACGGTCTTGTGTGAGAACGCAAACGTGCGAGTATCTAACTTGGATATCGAGGTGTTATGAGATTGCGTGACTTCTCAGAAATTTATTTGTTTACGTGCGATCAAACGGCAAGGGAAATTCGACAGCCACAAGAACTTCGCGAGTTCCTTGATTCGCGAGCGCGATTTAGGACAGAACCCTCTGACACTGCTGTAAAGTTCGTGACGTCGCGGAAGTTAGCGAAGCAATTCTCTCAATTGAATGGATATCGGGAGCGGGTCTCCCGAATATCCTTTACTCCCCTGCGTATCACTCGGTCCGCTCAGACGTAAGCGATTTCGAAAAGAGAGTTACGTTCGGGAAATATTCTCGCGATCGATTCCGCAACGTAACGACTCTGATTACTTCCGATGCGCGCGAGAGCTTTACCGGTTCTTCAACTTCTACCAAGGACGCGCAAAATCTTACCGACGATTCGAATCATGATGATCAAAAAAAAAAAAAGCGAGAAAACAAAAAAGAAGCGAGACTTCTAGCGAGGAATTTTAATTTAAAACTCTTGTAACGCTCTTAAAACGCTTCAAGTTTCGTGGCGGCGATCCACTTACGTGAAATTGAAATCGACGTAAACATGATAATAAATAAATATTCGAAAGCGACTGGCGCAAGATTAATATCGTCGTGAAAAATATTCTTCTCCGAAAGTCCTCGGTGAATCACATTTAAAGTCAACAATTTTACACGGCATTGTACGTAACAAGAATTGCAGGTATCTACTTCACAATTTTATTCGCATATGTCATTATTATATTATAATTATATATAGAATTGTTGACACAAACGCGCTACAGTGCGGCGCGTGTTCCCGCATCATTCTCTTTAACGATCTCTCTCAATTTATCCCGCGTCATATAATCCGAGATAGCTCTAACAAACTTCTACTTTCATACTCTTAGATGCTTCTTGAAACATGATAATTCGTGACTCGCGATTTACGTAAGCGAGTGTATCGCGGCCAATAGTAACGATCGAATACAAAAACGACGCCGCGTCATCGGAAGCGGATCGCAGGTAATAATGTTAATGTCGTGCCTCGACGAATAATATTTGCCAATATCATCTCTATTGGCTCGGTGCACATCGAGGTTGCTCGCCGGAGAGGTGCTGTAACGGGAAAAAAGGAGAGAAAATAAAAGAAAAAAACAGTCGGGAAGTTTGCCAATATCGAGTCGTTCTGCGACGATCCGTCACGCAGAGAAAACGTCCACGTTATTTCGCTGAGAACACGCGCATCTTCGTCAATTCGCCATCTCAAGTATGTCGTTCGTGAATATTTGGCGCAACTGAATAACGGGGAGTTAACATTGATTTGTAATGAGCGATTGATATTTTCAAGGCGCGGCGTGATGTCGCTCGCGGGTGTCGCGTTTCACTTCCGATCAAATTCGAACGTCAATGCTTTCGCTGGCGATTGTGATTTCGGGGCTCCGTTGCTCAACGGATTGACTCATCGAACGGTTGTCGGACAGCACAATGGGTTAATATTTGCTTATGAGTAGGCCGCGTCGGCGACCGCGTTGCGGATGCAAATTTAGCTTTGCGACGTGCTCACCTTTTAGAATATGTTTTGAAATCGTATAAATGGCAGTTGTAATACGTCGTTAGAATTCTCGGAAAGATAATTGGTGTATACGCGAGCGCGCGTATTCTTAAATGACTTTCAGGCGAGCAAACACGATGCCGAGGGCGTAATGGCTTTCGAGTTTATCATGGCTGCAATTAATCGTCCTCCGGCTGCATCGCAATATGCAAACATTCATCCTGGAATTTCCTCCGCGTCGCGCTGTTATCGTTTGCGATTTTACCGCGCCGCGAACTCGAATATCTCGCGCGTTGCTTGTAAATATTTTATTTTATATTATATTTCTGCGGAGCGTTCCTCGATAAAAAAAAAACAAGCATGAAGAAGCGAAGAGAAGCAAACAGAGCAAACGCGAAGAAGAGGAATATGCTGAAAATAGGAAGATGCAAAAATATGTTGGGAGAGTTTCAAAAATAAAAACTTGTGAAAACTAAAAGAAAAAAAGAATATAGTTCGCATTTCAGCCGACTGTAAATTTCGAACCACGCGCAAATCTACTAGCTACTCAGGTAAGGAAAATTAACGGTGAAATAGAAAAAACAAATCGAAATCGCAAGTGAGAAGCAAAAAGAAAGAAACGTTATCGTCGCGAAAAAAAGGAACATTTATTTAAAAAAAAAAAAAAATGAGCTTCGCGAATTGGTCGCCCGTAAAATGTCGAGAAACCGACATTCTTCAAGTCTTATCCGCGGAAATAAACTTAGTAGACCGCGATCGGTCACTGAAAATTCTGGCCACGCGAGAACTTAAACGAGAAACGGCGGGAAGAGGAACGGAACAACGCGAACATTAAGGGTGCGAGCACGCGCGCGTTGAATTTATGGCAAGTCGGCCAGACGGGCGCGCGACTGAAAAATTAAGAAAAGTCGAGACGAGATACAACAGAAGTGCTAGCTAGACGTATAACGAGTTGAGCGTCGCAAATTTTGCGGCGTCACACGTGGAAAAAAATAGGACGACATGCTGCGCCGCGACACGTGGAGATAAAGACTGCGGAAATATGGGCAGGTCTCTTTATTTTGTAATTTCAAAGTTTGATACGCGCTGTTGCCTTTACGATGCGGCATAAAGAAATTCACGTCTTTGAAAAATCGAGTCGAGTAAGTCACAACTCGGAGAGCAAGGTATACGCCCCCCCGGTTTACTCGCGAAATTTCGATACACTCGCTTTTTCATCGCGCGAGATCGAAAAAAAAAAGTTGTTTCACTGCGGATCTGTGAATAGTATTTATCCGCAACGCTTGACACAAGCCACTTCTCTCCGCGCGCCGTGCATAAGTTTATACACATGAAAAGCTCAAGAGATAAAGAGCGCGCTTACCTATTGTGTTACGCGCGAGAAACACGTATCGAACGTTTTGTTAAAACTGTACAACATTAACGTTCAAAAAGCGACGAAGCGAGAAGATTTTCGCGCATTGTTCCAAGGTCCCCCCCGGTGTGTCGAAACGGATAACGGAATTTCTTAAATCAAGCGCAATAAAAGTCGGATTCTATACGCGGTGATTTATTAAGCAAGCACGCCTCTCTGAAATATATTCTGCGAAAATTAATACACGTTTACATTGTTACGACGAACGCCGTTTTATTATGTCCGTCGAGTTTTGTTTACTTTTATTTTTTTCATGCTATTCCACACTATTCGCGGTGCGTAAAATTTTTGTCGCGTCTGCGAATTTATGCGGACGCACGTACATTTAGAGTAATAACGTGTGCTTCGCGTTTAAATCTCCAGAGATATTCCAAGCTCGCGCCCGGAGTTTTCGTTGTCCGGTTACGCGACATTTCTCTCTCGCACGGATACTCATTCCCGGAGATAAAGGTCGAAACCCGTATCTCTCTTTTCGTTTTACACCCATCCAATCGGAGAAATAAACGAAGTCGCGGAGCAATAGAAGAGAGATAGAGGGGATAGGGCATCGTGCCTTGAAAATTCAATGACATGGTGAGTTTCTGGCTTTTTAAATGGACACTCTCTTTTCTTCATTCAAATTTGTTTTTTTTTTCTTCTTAAGCGTTAAAACGTTTAATTCCCCCAGCGGGAACTTTTACGTTAAAACTCGATCGTAAACTCATTTTAAGGATCCCGCTCATTAGCACGATTGCTTTTCTTACTTATTTCAGTCGTTCGTTAATGAAATAAATTAATTTTTTTTTTCTTTTCGTTTTTACCGCAAAATTTTATTAATGTACCGTGGTATATGTCGCGGGTGCGCAATACACTTAATGAAAATCGAATAAAGATCGCGCTAGGGAAACAAATGATGCTTCGTTGTTCTACATGTGAATAATTCCGACGAATCATCAGTTTTACATGTCTGTCGCACCACAATCCGTGTCTAATCCGAGTTTTGACGACGGTATCCCACATAGCGCCCACTAAATGCCTATGCATTTTTTATAAGTTGTCGGAGATTCTTTTCGAACGTTATTTAACTCGCTGCTATCTCCGTCCGGCGTTTGCTCGCGCTAGATGTTTTTCCAATTTTCCCTCGGCGTTGACAACGATCCTTTCTACCTCGTGTAAACGCCCAGTGTATTCTTCAAAAAGGTTGACCCGTGCGATCACGGACCGTGCAAGATTTATGACCGTGTGTACTCGCCTCTCTTTCTACGTCGGATTTTCCTTCATCGTTGCGAAATTTATCCCCCGTCCGATTCCGTGCGCGTACAAAAAAAAAAAAAAAAAACAACAACGCTGCCAATCTTCGGTTTTCTCTTCTTTCTTCGCGATTTTCCCGCGATTGTCTTTTGTTTCCTTTGCGTGAGTTTTGCTCGTATTTGTCCGGCTACATTCCGTGGAATGCAGAACGTTATAACTGATCGATCGGAAGTAGAAAAAGATGTGGTATATGCGCGTCTCCGTCTATCTCGCTCTCTTTAATCTTCGCGCTCTGTCTCGTCTGTTGGACTGTTCCCGCTCTTATCTAACGATCATTTGACGGTTTTTTTTTTTTTTTTTTTTTTTTAATATCGGCGAATAAGAGATCCGAGATATTTCGTTCCTTGTAACCAATAATGTCGCACGTCGCGCTTTTGTTAAATGCAAGTTGTTTATCGCGGTGTCTCGCTCCTTATCGATTTATTGCTCGCTCTTTATTGTACACTGTGCTATTATGAAAATCAATTGTGTCAATCGCGGGATTCTTTAATGTTTGAATTGCACACTTCTTTCGTTTACCTTAACCGCTTCTACAAACTCGTAGAACGCGACCCCTTTTCCCCTCATTTAACTCTTATCGTTAATCATCCTTGCGACTTTTTCTTTTTATTTCAATCCGACATTTCTGTTCCGCTTTTTTTCTGTCTTTGATTTCATTTTCGTACTTAACGAAAATGACATATCACGTCTTACGTTATAATGATGACCAATTGAACGCGATTACGCGTTCAAAAAAATTGTTTTATCTTTTTTAATCAGTTTTTTTAATTAGTTAAAAATAATTGTTTTCAATGACGCCCGATATTCCTTTTCTTCTATCGATCGCTGGCTTCGCTCTACTCGACACATCTTGAATGAAAATGCAGATCGTTGAAAAGTTCCAAAGTAGAGCATCAAGAACATCAACGAGTATGATTAAAGGTGGACTGAAAAGTTACAAAAGATCTACCGAGCAGACGTAACTTCGCTCGTTAGTATTCAATGATCGGTTGTTATTATCTTGCGCAATCCTCATATTTAATAAGCCCACCCGTTATTTTCATCAGTCTCGCTCTTTCGATCGTAATCTTATTCAATTCGCGCGGCTTCTGGTATTAGAAGAACTTGTAGCGCAATACGGTTAATACAATAACATCACAAGTTTTGCTTGTTATAACTGAAAGTGCAGTAGCACCGCGGAGGGTCGTTAGCATTTACGCGCGATCATATCTTCCGCGCTTTTCTTCGCGCGATCTCATACACTTAGCAATCTAGCTAGCGAATCCCGCTGATAATACGCGCACTGCGGCGCACTGTATACGATCGTTTCTTCGTAAGTGATGTAAAACACGCAATGCTCATTAATATCGAAAACCAGATTGCCATTATTCATCTTCTTCTTTGCTTAGTCACCATCTCTGTATCCGAATTTTTGTTACGCCGCGTCTAATGCCGCGTCTTATGCAACGCGAGCAAGTCGATACTCTCGGCGATGGCGCCGCCGTCATCATATTTTCTTAAGAAATCGTCTTCTGTGCACGCGCAAATGGTGCGAATCGACGTCGAATCGCCGATTCGCAATTTTGTCAGTATAGCGGCACGCAACGCTCGTTAGTGCTCGTGGTGTCCGTTATTTTTTGACATTTCAAAATGAATAATCTCCGACAACGCGCACTTGTGTGTCTAATATAGCGTTATATAAAACTGATGCATTATGTAAAAGTGGAGTTTGTATTTCACTTCACAATTGAATCTGTAGCAAGAGAAAATTTGATAGAATTGCGTTTGTTGCGCAAGCGACAAAAGAAAATTGAAGAATAACCACCGTTTGTTATTGTGCTATTCATTGTGGCAAAATTTACGTTCCGTCCAACGACGACGTTCCCGTCGGTGTTGTAACGTATGTGAGGCTCATTGTAACTTTGGCATTTTTGTTCGCTACGCAACGCGCGCGCTCTGCACAATGCGCGATCAGTTGTGTTCTGCGTTTGAATGCTTATCCCCCCGCTGCATTTTCCTCCCCGGCTCTCCTAGCCTCGAACCTCTCGTGTTTCTTTTTTCTTTTCGCTTTGATGCGGAAACCGCGCGCTGCTCCGATGTATCTAATCGAAAGTAACCCCGGCGATGCTTCGTTGAAATTCGAACAGCGTGCAGCGTCGAGTGCTTCGAATTTTACTCGTTATCTTGTGATTATCGTGACGTTGCAGCGGTAGCGGATTAACGAACACACAGAGTAAGAAGAGCCAACAAAGGGGAAAAGCTGCTCCCGCGACGATATGAGCGCAGCCTGTATACGAAGAAAGTTTCCGGTTCGTGATTTACATCTTCATCGTTCGTACTACAACAATTTTAATTCGTATTTTGTGTTTTTCCGCACGCTTTCTAGCTAAAAAGTACAATCTGCCACGTCCAGTCTCCTTGAAAGCTACGATTATTCGAAACGCTAGACATCTACTAGTAGCATCGAGATTTTTTTTCGAAATCGAATAATTGTTAACGAAGATGGAGGGATCGATTCGCCAACGGGGAACGAGAACCGATCTTCTCCGAGAGAGCGAAAAAGAGAGAAAGAGAGTATGTGTATGTAGAAAAGAAGTGAGAGATATAGACTATAACTCGTCGCGGACGAGAGATCTTCACAAAAATATTTGCAAATCTAAATCTCTGCGTCATTCAAAACGCTTTTTTTTGTGTGTTATCGACACAACTGTTATTGCCTATCTATATTAGACGTGCATGCCAAACCGCGCGGACGTGGACTTGCCTTCTCTCACGGTCGTTCCTCATCGGCTGATTATCGGGACGAGCGGCTCGCCCTAGCTCGCGTCGACAATTACGATAATGACGACGATGTAGAGATTCCCGATTTCATGGAATCGCGTGCCGCCCTTGGATGGAAATCAGGGTTACTCGCCGCCCAACGACAGCGCCTGAACAATTCTAGGGTCGGCCTTGCTGCCCTCCCGAAACTCCTCCAATGTGAGCTTGTCGTCGTGGTTCTTGTCCATCTGATCAAAGATTTTGTCGACTCTCTTTTGCGGCGTGTTCTCGTCCTCGGCTTGCGGTGTCTGCCCCTAAAAACATACCGGCGACGTTTCTCAGCTCAGTATCTCATTAATCAGCGGGGCTTAACAACTTCCAGAAGACGTTGTCATTTTGTTTTTTACCCCTTTACTAAAGCGAACTATAAAACACTCTCCCTTATCACTAATTACGGGTCTATAAGTAACATACGTCTTTCGAATTTGTGTTAACGAATTGTTTAAATTGTGAGAGAAGTGCGGTATGTAAAAAATTACGATATTTCCCATCATATCGCGAAATTTTATCGTTTTCGGAAACTCGCAAATGATGAAATTTCATTATTGTTTCGTTATTATTTGTCGCGACAAGTACATCGTCAATGTACGTAAAATCAATTCGATAATTTACAAAACTGCATTGGCTTTTAATGTATTTGTTTGTGATCTAATGTGTTTTAATTGAACCGAGTCATTGCGCTAATTCTCGGCATTGTAATCCAAATGTATTGTTTAAACGCGATTGTATTTAGTTTTCAATCGTATTTACGCGGCTCAATCGAGTTTATTGTTTCAAAGTCGACATGTTATCAAAGTTACGGAGCCTTTGTTACGAAGCCACAACCCGCATGTTTATAGATTACCGCTCGGTAAGCCTCTTGGCAAATATGCGTGATATAATGTGCCCTTGTATTTCTCTTTGAAATTAATATTAACGAGACTTCAAGGTGATTAATGGCGAATTGTTCGCGAAACGGATTTGCCGTGTTAGTGTCGAACGAATTTTCCACAAAAATTTTGCACGCTTGGCTGTGCAAAAGTTACAACAATTCCGAAGTGTCGATATATTTTTCGCTCAACTCTCGAGGGTGTTGATTGCACGCTCTGCTGGGTTTTTTCTCTCTGATGAAAGTACCTAACGTAGAAAAGTTTCGGCTATGAAAATGCACAATCACGAAAATATGCGACTTCTGCGCGTATTGTTGGTAGTTTAATTAGCACATAATGCGAGAAGAGAAGCTCTTCTGGGAATAGCGCGCGCGCGTCACAGCCACGATGCGTACTTTATATTCGGCCGAGCGACACGCGTGACGATGACGTTTCGGATAAAACAATTAAACTTTCCGTACGCGGCTAAATAGAACGCACTGCGATTTCAAAGAAGCCGCGCATATACAGGGTGTCCCATAATTGTCGTATCACCGCTCGTAGGCAAAAAAAGAAAGAGTTATTCTAAGACGAAAAGTTTTATACCACTTTGGAAGATTCGCAATAATTAACGAGATATGAATTAATAAAGATCCGCTAATCAGCGTGCATCCAGCGTAAGAACAGCCCAGTCTGTCGCGCCGTAGCGACGTAATGGGAGGAACTAATAGAATAACATGTGCATACATAGACAGCATATAGGCTGCGTTCGCGCTATTGCATTCCGTCGCTACGGCGCGACAGACTGAGCTGTCCTTACGCTGGATGCACGCTGATTAGCGGATCTTTATTAATTAATATCTCGTTAATCATTGCGAATCTTCCAAAGTGATATAGGACTTTTCGTTTTAGAATAATCCCTCCTACCTGCCTACGAGCGGTGAGACGGCGATTACGGGACACCCTGTATATCGCGCTTGTCAAAAGCAGTAACGGGTGACGTTGTAGCTTACGTCGTTAAATCGCTTCTGGCTCGTCGAGGGTTGGAAACTGTACAAGAGGATTATAACTTTTGCTATATAAAATGAGCTCGTTAGGATAAAATATTGACTTGATATCGAGAACAAGTTGCGCGCTCGCGAGTTATTACAATTGCATCACAAGCGAGCACGTTGTTAAACACATGCATAAGCGAATTTTTAATAGTGATAAGTGTTTTTATTGATTGATATGTAGTCAATTAAAGTGAAATATAATAATAAAGTTTATTTATTCTTGTGTGTGTGCTGAGGCAAATTTTGAATAGCAGACCCGTTTGACTCGGTCTGAAACGAACTCGCCTTATTGTCGTCAACTTTTCTTAAAGGGAAATAGATAATACAACGCGGATCTTTGTTATTTCGCGGAAAGATCGCTGAATGACACATTAAAACCAACGAAATCGCGAGAAGCCGAGTAACAAAATGTTTTACCTGTGAAAAGCTTTCTCTATTTCACAGATTAAGTAAAAACTTTGAAAAGAACTTACCACCATCTGATAAATTGCGTCTACTATGTTGTACATCTCGTCCCTCGTGATGAAACCGTCGTTGTCAACGTCGTACAAACGGAAGGCCCCTGAAAAGAAACGAGAAAAGTAAGAAAGGAAAACGCAATCGACGTCTTTCCGCGAAACTGAATTCCTAGAAGATACAAAATTCAAAAAATGCTCTCAGAAAGAGAGAGAAAGAGAGAGAGAAATAATATCTCATTTCATACATACGCTTCACTAGCGAGTTTGTAAGTTTTCTTTCGAGCGATATCCGTCCGCAATTGTGATAACATTTCGTCGCTCACTTTTGCGTTTCAGATTGTTAGCGTTCATCAATAGCAGCTCTCTCAAGGAGAACAATTGAACGTGTCTCGTTTTTTATCGTCTCAGCTCAGCGATCGTCTTTCAGAATTCGTCTCAAGTTGTTTATGCGCACAATAATCTCTTTTGCACAAATAACTACTATCTTTCTTCCAACAAAACCGAAAAGTCCGAATATTTATCAAGAAAAAGAAGAGATCACATGGAACATGTAAGGTCACTGTTGTACGTGGCACTGTTTTTTTTTTTTTTTTTATTAATGTGAATATTTAATTTATATGTCAAAAAAATAGAACAGTATTTGATTTTATGTATATTTTTTTTCTTAATTTCGCTCTCAGAGGATCAACTGTGTGTGTAAGTTTACAAGATACATATTTCTGAAATTGAACTCCCGAATTGTGAAAAGTATATTATACGCGGCAAATTTTATATTGTCTTACGAGAAAGTTGAATGACTTAAAGTTTCTGAATCAACTATCTCGAGTAAATCAAACAGAATACGCGGCGGTTTTTTTACGATTGTTCGCGATGTAGTCAAAGTAGATGGACAAACAGCGAGTATAGTTCGCAAGAGGAACTCGCTCAAATTTGAGTGGATGAGTTTTTCAAGAATAAAGATCGAAGTGTGTACTCACAGTGAAGTTTTTCGTCCAGGTTGCCACGCGACGTCACCGAAAGCGCTCTTATGAACTCCTCGAACTCTATCGTACCGTCCTAAAACAACAAGTCAACGTATCCTTATTATTTCGTTTCGAACCTTGCACGCGAGAGATGTTATCTTCTTATCGATCATCGTCTTACCAGAGGCGATGATCACTTCGCGTTTCTTAAAGACGGATAGCTACCGGTTTCCGGCTTTAACTATCTAACATAGACGATATCGCGTCGACATATCGGATGAATAGTTTTCTCTCTCGCGGAGTATCTTCTTTTAAGCCGCGCTAACAGAATAATCTCGAGGGAGAAGTGTATGGAAAATCACTGTCTTGAATATTTTCCAAATATTTTCATTAAATATTTGCGAGTCGACATGAATGTCGCTGTTCACTCAACTGTTCGAACTGAGTAAACACGCGATTAATTTGTGTTTGCGGAACTGATGCCTCAGCTTTAGCGTGAGAATTTGTTCAGCGCGCGTTTCTCTTTAAAAAATCAACAGCTCGTTTTTATTTAATATCAAAATAAAGAACAATTAATAAATACTCATTTAATAAGAAAAACGTTAATAAAGACATCACGTGGGGCGGAGATAGCGCGACGGAAAGGAAAGAGGAATAATTTAAACAGTCGAGAGATTCTACTATCGCGTGATCGATCCTCGCACGCAACATCGGTCTAGCGAACGTATAAAATTTTTGCCAAGAAAGAAAAGCCACGGGCGTGTATATACACACGTGACAAGAAACTTACGGCGTTTTCGTCAAAAACTCTGAAGACGAGGGAGGCGAACTTCGACGGGTCACCCTGGGGGAAAAACTGCTTGTAGATCTTTATGAAGCCCTGAAATCACGCGAGCGTCATGCATATTTTCAGCTTTTCACGCGGTATTGATTTCTTTAAAGTGATTAACTCTTTCCTCTTTTCTATTGATGTCACGTGATACATGATTAATGTATGTGTATTCATATATTAAATGTATTCATATATGCATATTCATTTATTCATATATCAAGATAAAATCTTTTACATTAAATTACTATACCGAATCTTTTGTTTGTTTGTTTTTATATATCAAGTAAATTTTGGTAAGTGAAAGAAAAGAAGAGAGAGAGAGAGAGAGGAAAGTTAATATAAGAGTTAAAACATATTGTAAGACAATGTGTACCTGTTCTGTTAGCAGTCCATCGGGGCAGTCCTTCAGGAATCCTTTGTGCCTAAATAACACGACGATGTTCAAATATAATAATTTAAAGTAAATATGCACATATCATTAATATATTTAACAATTCATAGTTCTCGCGAGAATTTCGTTTTCACTGTCTTTTAACTTCTTCTAACTTTTAAAATTAGATTAGAACGCAATTTTCCTGTAGATTATTTTCTTCTACAGTCGGTCACATAAGAGCGTAGTCACGATTACTAGCGATCGGATAATAAAATTGCTGTAATTTTTTTTTCTCATACAGAGGGCAGTATAGTCCTTCATGCTTTATGAAGGAAAATCAGCTGACTGTTGTTTTTAATTCGATCCTTTGTATTTTTCCAAAATGAGTACCGCTTACGCTTCGCGCTTCGAAGCAGTTTTTTTTGTGCTTGCATCCCAAAGAANCTCAAATGACTCAAACGGCTGCTGCAAAATACATGCAAAAGTCAAAACAGTTCGTCAGCAAGTGGGTNAATCGTTACAAAGAGGTGTTCTTTGGTATGCAAGCACAAAAAAACTGCTTCGAAGCGCGAAGCGTAAGCGATGCTCATTTTGGAAAAATACAAGGATTGAATTAAAAACAACAGTCAGCTGATTTTCCTTCATAAAGCATGAAGGACTATACTGTCCTCTGTATGAAAAACAAAAATTATAGCATTTTTATTATCCGATCACTAGTAATCATGACTACGCTCTTATGTGACCGACTGTAGTTTCCCGACAGAATCTTTAATCATTCTGTCCAAGTTTCTACGAGTGGTTAATAGTCTACTTGTGCTTTTCTTACGGTCGAACTTACCATTGACGAATCTCCTTCTCGGTGACTGAAACAGAAAGAAGGAAAATTTAGAAAGAGGTAATTAATTATTAGCCGTACTACATGTATAACAAAATCGAGTTATTCCGGGCGCGAAAAGTGCCCGGCAAGAAAAAGCGCGCGTGGCGGAAAGAATTGCAGGAGGGTGAGCGAGGGAAAGAATTATTGTTCACTTGGAGCTCGCCCGGCTCGTATCAACTGCTGTGTGATTTACTGCACGACGGATTTTCTCGGTAAATTCAGTACGGAGGTAGGTGTCATTGAAAAACTCGATTGTCCCATGTAAGCGATCAAATTTTTATACGACGATGTAGGTGCTTCCCAATCGTTTTTTGCGTTGTGTCAGTCGAAGAATGTTTATATATGTATGTGCGCAAAGCAAAATATCACATTTTTCCCTACGTTCTTGTTGGTCATATTATACAATAATAAAGTATGTCAAAATTAGAAGTGACAGATCGCAATAAAAGTTGTCGCGTTGCAGAAGCGATTTGTTCGATAGATTGAATTTGTTTGCGCGAAGGGAACTAATATCACTACGAAAGACGAGATCGATATCGGCAAAGCGAATGTGTGCAAGACGGATATGTGTGTTGCTGAAATAACAAAAGTTTTTTATCGAATCTTTTTGTATTTAATCGAACGGATTGCACGACGGTTCTTTATATGAGTCGCGCAAAGAAGAGAAGATTGAAGAGAAAATAAAGAAAGAGGAAAGATTAGCAGGACAATTACGTCAATTTTCTTGTCGCTTCGCGTTTCTTAAATTTTAATCCTACAAGAAACTCTCACGTTTGTCAAAGTTTAAAGTAAATTTTTTAAACAGATATTGTTTAATATATTTATTTATATGTTATATTTTTTAATTTATTTTAGGTTTTCGGCTAATTATCTTATAGTGAAATTTATTTTAATTGATAGCCAGATGACGTATTGTTTTCTAAAAAATAAATGTCGCAAGAAAAACGTTTTGTTTTTCACGACAGCTCAGGCAAATTTATATATTACGGCGGAACGGTCGAAAGGATAAAGGACGAACGCTCGAGGTCAATAAAAACACGAGAGAACATGAGGAGTTTTGTGGTTTATATGGTAATCTTGCCTTGAGTATATTAGCTTTTACAAACAGCACATGAAAGCGCTTTGTCGTACAAGAGTAGAACTTGTGTGCCGGAAATCACGTATCTGTTTAAAGATATTATTTTAATCGAGTTTAGCTACATAATATACACATACACATTTGTTTTTGTTTCCCTGAAACTGAAAAGAATAATTTGCAAACTCTTTTTTGTCACAAGTTTCATTGAAATAAGATTATTCTTTTTTTCTTGTGTGAAAACAAAATCGCGTTATCTCTCTCTCTCTCTCGTCGAATTAAACACATTTAAAACTGATATTTAACGAATCATTCGCGCACAATGTTAAAGTCCACAGAGTAAACAGATCGTCAGTTATCATATTGCGAATGAAAATTCACGATTCGATTGTTATTTCTTGCGATCGCAAGAACGGAGAGACGAGGCGTTCAATTTGAATGTATTTCTATAACTATGTAAATAAGAGACTGGCGCGAGAAGTATTGTCGAGCGATTCGATCTCTCTCGTCGATTTACATTACGAGAAGAAAAATATATTGTATTACATCCGTGCATGTATATTGGCAAGTTGTTGATTATTGTTCTGCTTTCTAAATTTTACGTTCTGTTGATCAATTATCGGTCGTCAGTTTCAGATCTTTACGCGGAACATCTCTATCAGCACTAAATAGAGTTTGATTTAATCTTTGGTTAATCATAATTATATATAAGCGATTTTTGGCTTTTGTGATTTTTTGAATCTTTATTAATCAAGAGAGTTTGGTCGGGAAACGTGTGACATATAAAAAATCACGCAAAACTTTTTAAAGAACATTTAACCGTTTAATTCATTACGTCAAGAGTTATACCGCGAAAGTTATACACTTGCGTGTGCTATGTCTGATTGATTCGTGTACAAGTTTCTCTCGTTCGACATACTCGAATTTCGTAATTGGCTCGAGAGTCGCGAATGCTTAATTGGCCGTAGTTACTCGTTTACTGAGCTTAAGGTTTACGTCAGCTAAATTGCTTCTTCTTCGTCCGTCTGTTTTCTCTCTTTTTCCCATCCGCGTCTCCGTTAAATCTCTCGATATCTTTCCGCCGGCGTGCTTTTCCCTCCGAAGCAAAAAAAAACCGGTTCTTCACTAAATAATAATCCGGTCTTACTGCGTTAATTTGTATTAACTTGTCGAGAAACAAGGATTAGCCGCAGTAACGAAACCGCTAAAATTTATCGTTTACAAATAGAATTATTTCATCTCACTTACGCGCGTTCAATTATTGCAATACAAAATATATAAAAAAAATCAATTATAATGGAAATGCAAAAAGTAAAAAAGAGATGTACATATATATATATATATATATATATATATATACATATATATACGTATTTAAAGAGATTAAGTGTATTTGTTGCTGTCGCGTTGTCATATCCCGTGTACGATTAGCGAGATTTCCAAAAAAACTATTTTTAGTAAAAAAAAACAGTGTTATATATCTTGTATCTATTTAAAAAAACAACAAAAATTAACGGATGAATTGTAAACATTATTAACAGTAAAACATTTGTAATAAAATATGCACTTATTATGTGCATAGTTTTATTTATTTGAAACGTCGAAAATTTGTTATCATATAACAGAAATCATATTTGTCAAGAACAAAAGTTTAACTTGAAACATTTGATTCAATTATCGTCATTTAATGGCACTTCTTTGTCCCTAACGTCTCATTTATCTCACAAGGGAATAGAAAAACACAACACAAACTCAGCTTAACTATTGAAGATTTTGTAAAATCTTTTTTATCGAACGTGATTCAGGAAATCGTTGCACTAGAATTCCGCCAAATGTTCTACGTATTTTTCAGCATCTTTTTCTCACGCTCTTTCGCACGTTGCTTTGCTCGCAAGAGCTCCCTATCTTACCGTCTCTCTACACATCATGTAGTAATCTTGAAAACTACTTTTTTTCGAGTGTGTCTCTTTGGCGGAGAACATGGAGTTTTTCTAATCCGCGACTCAAACGTAAGAGGGACACGAAAGCTGCGTCGAAAAACTGTCGCATTAGAGAGGCCATCTCAGAAATTCAGTGATATTGCTGTCATCGCTCCTGTCACCGTGTTGAAGTAATCTCAGCTTATTTTCCAACGTTTAAGTTGACGTTTTTTCTCGTCACCTGTCTCGTTTGTCGTGTTTATGCCATCCGATAAAGTCAAAACTGTCGAATTCTGTTGACATGTGCGCTTCGGTCACATGAATATTCTTTCGCTTTCGAATCGCGTCGTTTCGTATTCACGTTACATTTTCCGTTTACGATTTATTCAAGAAAACGTGATTCGCCCGCAAACGATGATACGAAGGACAGACACAATCGCTTTTCACGTTCGCACTATCTTTGCCAAATGTCGAGAGTTAGCGCGCGCTAAGCCTAATGAATTTTTAAACAGGGCGTAAAGCAGATGTGTAAACGCATAATATTGCGCGGTTGCACTTGGTACTGAGAGACGCCAAGCTGTATTTAATCGCATGCAGTAAGTGCGCGGCTCACGGAGTCGTGAATTAATTCCGCTCCAACTTCTCTTCCGTTACGCTGTTATTCAAATTCGCCAAGGGAATGCCCTCGGTCGTGCCAACTGTCAAGTCGGTACAAGGTGTTTATCAAAATAACTACTTTAACGAAGTCATTTTTGTTTTACGTATGTGAATATTTGTGACACAGTATCTCCCACACACAGGACATATATTATTTATTACAGTAGACAGTGCGCGCTATTAAATCTGAATTAAATCTGCAGAGATCTGACAACAACTCAAACTATACGAAAGCAAACGGAATTTAGCATCGAGAAAGAAAGGCACAAATAAAATTGACATTTATTTTTTTGAAAAAGAATTTATATTTTTTTTATGTATTTATTATTATTAACAAGTTATAGTTTTACTTAAGGTTAGTTCCTGTGCGACAGTCTTATTCAAAAATAAAATCTATCGCGTCAATACAAAAAGTTAAAATTTCACTGATTGATTCAATAATAGATAGTTTCACTGAGATTCAGTGATAACGTTACTGAATTTTAGTGAAAGTATGTCTCTTTTAAGATAAATCAGTAAAAATTTTACTAATTAATTCAGTAACAGATTAATGTCACTGAAAATCAGTTAAAATTTTACTGATTGATTCAGTGACAGATAGTTTTACTGGGAATCAGTAATATTTGGCAACTCTTTCATTTTTCTTTTGAATGCAAATCACTTCACTGGCATGTGTTATTTCTCTGTCAAGATTTCATCAGGGAAACCTCAGATCAATATTTTGTTCAACATTTCTTTTTAAAATTGCAAAACAATCTTCTTTTTCGTTAGTGTCTTCGATACATATTAATATAAGTAATACTACTATTGATTAAAAAATTTCTTATAAATGTAATAAGTATATACTTAATATTTAAGTAAATATGTAATTAATATATAAACTATGTTATATATAATTGATTTTGTTTCAGATTAAATTGATGCTATACTCGGGAAAAAGTCCTGCTTTATGAACAAATTACACGGAAAAAAAAAATAGTTTCTACCACAGTTTGCTGAAATGAATTTGCTGCTGTAACTATAAAATTTCTTATTACATAGAAACAGTTTGCTGATATTCCTAAATATGTCGACATAATAGCAAAATATGTATGTCTTGTAGCACTAAGAGCTTAGGTGTCCATAATACTACCAAAATTTAGAAACCACACCTAATTTTTAGCTGTGAGAGCTAACTTTTTTTTCCGTGTATAATTCAATCTCTGGCTATAAATAATTATATATAATTATAAATGAGATTAAGACAATCTTACATAATGATATTTAGACATAATTATACATAACCAGATATAAAATGTGTCTATATAAGACGGATTTTTTCTTGAGTGTTCAAAA